CCCGCCTGAATCTACCCTGTAATTCTTTAAACTATTAGGCTGTAACGATCAACAAGATTAAACCTTTAACGAGCCATAAAATGTGAATGAACTCTGCTACCTAAAATCACTTAATTGTCCATATTTTCCAGCATATTAATGCCGATGCTAACGCATGTACATATAAATAAGCCTAAAAATGTATCTATTAAATTATACCCACTTCCCGGATCGATTCCGCGCACTCTAATCTATGGGAACCTATGAAACCGAAACTGTCGCCAGGCTGGGGAATATGCCTATAAATCGCAATATTTACCGACTCAAACACACGACAGAAAAAAAAAACCCCTCGTGGCAAGTTCACAGGCAAGGCCCCTCAAGGACAACTTGCGCATAATTCCAAATAAAATGTATAACCATTAGGGGCGGCAAAAAAAGGCGAAGGGGGATGGGGCTGAAGCTGGTGCTGAGCACGCGGCACATAAATGAAATTTATTATATGCTGCGCAAAATTTTCTATACATTTGCCATCGAATTTTGTTGGCGGGAAGTGTACGTTGCCTTCCCTCTTTCTTTCTATGATTTTTGCTGTTTTTGCTATTGTTGTTATTTGCTATTTTGTCTATTTATTTGGTGCGACTGTGTAGCCGTCCCTGTTTCACGCAGGCAGCTACTCCAGCACGGCCCCCACGGGAATATATCAGCAAAGGCTTAGCTCAAAAAAAAAAAAAAAAGAACAAAAAATAAAAGCAAAAACAAAAAAGACGGGAAAAGCAAATAAAAGTGCGTAGATTAGAGTAAAGAGTGTGGACTAAAGAGTACCTCGTAGAAGGAGGTTTTCTTCAAACAAATTATATATTGTATTCTAAAATTATATATTATAAAATAATTTTTTAATCTAGCCATGTTGGTTGGAAAGAAATGGGTAATTATTTATAATTTATCTAAATAAAAAGCATTAATTTTTAAAGACTTACAGATTTAATTTAAGTTTTTTTATATATATTATATATATTTATTTCTAAATTTTGTTTTTTATTTTATTTTAAATTACATAATAATTAAATTCTATTAAAATAAATCTCCATATACCCCTATCAAACGTTGCGTATACTGAATATCAGCACTCGGCAATAATACCCGAAAAGTGTATAAAAAACCAAAAGGCCTACGCACTGACGACAATGGCTATATGGAGTGATATATAATACACATACACACATCTAGAGAGAGGGAGTAAGAGAGAGGGAGTAAGAGCGAGGGTGGCCAGAGTGAGAGGGCGCTAGCAATCACATGCGTACGCACGCGTGCAGGTTGATGGAGCCGAAAGGGGGACTGGGGCCAAGGGGGCGGAGCTACCCACACACGCACCGATCGAACGTTGCGTGAGTTCTTTATTTCAGCGCGTGCTCTCATCAAGCGTCGCCGCTTTCCGCTTTCCGGCACCGGCACCCCCCTGCCACCCTCAATCATCTCTCAGGCCAGAACTTTTGCTAATTTCGTCTAATCAGTTAACCTTGAATATTTGTTTTATTCCCCCATTCCCATCCCCATCCCGCGGGTGTATTTATTCTTTGCTGTTTTTTTTTTTTTTTTTTTTTTCGTCGTTGGAATTTGCTCTCCGCTTCAGCTTCTTCTTCTTCGTTCTACTGATTCTACGCGCGAGTTGTTATTGCCGCCTTTAATTTATTTGAGGCTTGTTTTATTTCAAGGTGAAATATGCGCAAATAAAAATTGCCAAAGAAAAAAACATATCGAAAGGAAATTGCCAAAAATATCTGGCATAAAGGTGGATGTCGTAGCGGGGAGATGCTGGAAGAGGAGATCGAATAGTAGATACTCTATGATATTAATGGATAATTAAGAAGATTATGTCTGAAATTATTTAATATGTACATTTTATTTAAAATTTAAACCAATTTCTTACAATTTTTAATATTAATAAATAAAGATTTAAAAAGCGAATTGGAATATGTTTATTTTAATTGGCAATCTTTTGTTTTTTTGGACATTTTAATAATTGCCTAAAGAAGACCCGATATATTTCCATTCTTAAAATCGATAATTTATCTAAAATTTTATATGAAAATTTTTTAAACTTTGGTTTGTCTAAAATTATCATAACTAAGCCAAAAATGCATTTATTTCCATTTGGAAAACTGCTCTGTCTTAGTTTTAACAAGGTTAATAAGTCTGTTTACTAAATTAAACATTTTTAAAAATGAAATTTTTAGTCAATTTTTATAAATTTTAATGATGTAACCCCTTATAAAATTTTGAAAAAATGTCAAAAATTTGTATTCTTTTCAACATGGCTAGGAAGACTCGCCAGTTGATGCTGATCAAGAATATATATGGTTTATGGGGTCGGAAATAACTGCTTCAGTGCGTTTCATGCTTTTGACTAAAATTAAAATACTTTCAAGAAGGGTATTAAAATTTAAATATTTTTCCAAAATTGTATATAATAAAATTTGGGAAAATTAAAGCATTTAAAATGTAGAACTAAGCTTCTAACTATAATTACAAAACCCTGCCAGAAAATAAGAATGCATGAATCTTTGTATTTTTTGCCTGTTCCAATATACCCTTTCTTTCGTTAACATTTTAAAGATCAAGACGTTCCATTGATTGATTCCCAGGCTATCACCCCTTACTACCACCCCGTCGGAATGCAGTGCATTTACTGCATTTCCTGCTTGTCACTTGTCGCACTTGTCACTCGTTACTCATACGCCACCGTGCCCACACTTGGTTAATTTGTTGCGCTCTCCCTGCTGCCCTGCCTCTCTCTTTCTCTGTCCCGCCTGTTTCTTCTTCAGATTCTAATTCTGTTTTTGTCTCGCTTCGTCTCCCCCGCCTGTCCCCTGCCAATCTTCTCTCACTTTGGCTTTGACATTGACTTTGAAGATAACAAAGCACTCGTCTTTGTGTGTGTACAAGTGGCTCCCACTCTCTCTCTCTCTCTCTGTCGCACACATTTAAAATTATAATACACACATAGATACTAGTAGTGGGTGCTTTAGAGGGAAAGGCGGGGGATATGAGTGTCTCGCTATCGCTGGCATCGACTGTTGTTATCTACACGCGGTACTCACGCTGCCCAGACGCCGCCTTAACCCCCTCGCTCTCTTTGGCTCGCTGGCTCTCTCTCTCTTTCTATATATTCCTGGCTGGCCGCTGATTTGATTATTTCGGCAAATTCATTTCGCGACTCTTATCGCCTCAAGGTCACGGGCAAAATTCCAACACACGCACACATACACACACACAGACTGGGGACAGACAGGCGCGACATTGAAAATAATCGCTATTCTCAGCGAGGAAGAATCCGCGTGTGTGTGATAAGCTCCGGGCAACAGAAAATCTAGTGATGTACGATCCCAAGTTGGGTGGTGAAGAAAGGGGGTTGTCCAAGGGTTATTTCATTAGGAATTTCCCTATATGAAATATACTTAATATTATTAAAATTCAAAATTCAATCTAGCCATTTCTTTTTATTTAAAGTTTACTAAGTTAAGATCCGATTTCACTATCCTATATCTATCTTACCTTTTGTAAACATTTTCCCCCAAAATAAATAAAAACACACTTTGATTTTTAGTTTTTTTTTCATAATTTCTGTTGATATATTTTAAATACTTATTTTCAATATTTTATTCACATATTCCATTCTGGGGGGATGGGGGGGCCTTTTTTTCATTGTGTTTTTGCATTTAAAACAAACTGTAATATTATTTTATTTCACAAATACAAATTTTTGCTGTTCTTTTTTTAGTGTTTTTATGGAGATTTAATATCAATTTTCCGAAACATTTTTTTTGCCAAATTCTTGTGTTTAAAAACTCTTTTTTTTTGCCGCAATTTGATTTGTGACTGTCCTTGAAAATATATTCATTTGTATATATATATTAATAGATATTATTTATATGGTATTTCATATGCCTCAGCTGGAGTTACCTCGAAAGTTGCATTCGTGTGTTGCTTTCAATCAAAGATTTTAGTTGCTATTACGTTACTCCTACGGCTGTTTACGGTTACGATTTACATTTACGTTTACGTTACGTTACGCTTAATTGTCGCAATTTCATTGTTTCAGTTGTCGCTGCCGTCGTTCGGTTGGATATTTACACATATATCCAACCCTTCGTCCTTCGTCTTAAACCTCGATCATTATCATCATCATCGCTCAAATCTGAGATAGTTTTTACATAAAATATTCACTTTTAGATACACAATTACAATACTTTTTTGTAGCTGTTCTTGTTGTTGTTGTTGTTGTTGCTTGTTCTGGCTAAAAGTTACGGACAAATACGCTTACATACATACATACACATAGACGACACCAAAATCGTTTCATCTACGTACATATGCTTGTGTATATATATATATATATATAGAGTCAATTATTGAAGAGTGATATCTTTTTTGTTAATTTTCACGCTCCTCGGCGCTGCATAAATTTTAAAAGAATATATAATATTTTTTGTAGATTTCTCATCCTCTTCGGAGTTTTTCTTTTCCAACAACGTTGAGAGTGTTCTTTTCTTTTCTTTCCTTTTTTTTTTGGGTTTTTCTCTTTACATATTTTCCTTGTGGCTCATTTTTATACACGTAAAATTGTTGGTTTTTTTTCTTGATTTAATTCTGATATAAATACTTTAGATATAATTTTGTGAGTATTTTTTACAAAGGGCGGTAGTCAGGGGGGAGTAAAAAAAAATCCAACTTAAAAGTTAACATAATATCGCTTACCATTTGAACTGAAAATTGAAAAACTGAAAATTCGCAATTGAAAATGGAAATTGAAATGAAAAAAACGGAAGATTTTTTTTTGAAAATTTTTAAACAAATTTTTTATTGATTTGACAATACAAATTTCTGCGCCAGTGTAGTTTTTTGTTTGTTTGTTTTTGTTGTTTTTTTTTGTTTGTTTGTTTTTGCATCTTTGTTTTTGTTGTTGTTGTTGGTTTTTTGTTTTCTAAGCATAAAAATAGTAATTAATTAATCATAATAATTAATAATCATAATAGTACAGCGTAATTAAAAGGTAATTAATGTAATAGTTTTTTTGCTACCGCAAGTTTTCTCTTTTTTGTTTCTTTCATTAATAATAAATGTATACGTTACGTTTTTTTTTTAAATAATATATCATAATTTCTGTTTGTTTGTTGATTCTTTTTTTTTTTTTGTATTTTTCGCTTGGTTTTCTAAGATGCCAATCAAACGTTGAATCTTTAAGCATTAGGTTTTCTTCTCATTAATATTTATGTGTATTTATATGTACTTTAAATATGCTTTCTTATTTCTTTGTTTAATTTAACATTTAACTATGTACACAACAAATATATTTAACGTTGGGTTCCTCTGCTTCTCTTCGCTGCTAAAACTTTAAGCATTTTGTTTGATTTTCATTTATTTTCAAGTTTACTTTTTGTTGTATTTTTTGTTTTGTGGTAGTTTTTTTAAAATTAGAAAACAATATTCATTCCACTTGATTTCTTTAGCATAGAAAAAGAGCTTTGTGCCAAAGGAGAAATAAGGAAGGATAGCTAATCTGATAGATAGAAAGATATATGCATAGATATATAGGGGGAGGGGAGGGTGGAAAACTATAACAAATTCATAAAATTAGTTAAATTCATAAAAAATGAATCGTTCTCAACTTAATCGTAGTTAAAATTTGTTGCAAACTGCACTTCAATTCTGCTCCGGAGATCGCACAATAAAAAATTTCACACACATTTTTGTTTTGTTTTTAGGTTTTTTTTTTCTTTGTTTTTAATTTAATAATAATCATAATCATAATAATAATAATTTGCAGTTTTTTCAAAAAACATCCACAAAAAAGCAAAGTAGTTTTTGCTCAGCCTACGAACTAAAGAACTAAACATAGTTTAAATTTTTAAACATAATTAATATGTACAACAAGAGCTTAAAACTTATAAAACAATCAGAGGGGGGGTCGATAGAGGGGGCGGGGGCGTGGGGGCTTGTTGCAGCTGAAGGAAAAGTTAATGCAAAAAGGGGCGGCTGCCTTGTGTTTCATTTGTTTGCTGGTTGGTTTGCTTGCTACGTTAAATGTTTAACTGTTAAAATATATATTTTATGTTTTTTTGTTTTTCTTTTTCTTTTGTAATACCATTCAAGCTTGTTTTTTGTTTTCTTTCTTTTTAAATTAATAACTTGTAGTTCTTTTGTTTGTTGTTGCTTTAAATATTAGTTTTTAAATTGCATGCATGTTGGTTTTTTTTGTTTTGTTTTTGCTTTGAAACTTTGTACACGGCTCAATTAAAAGGTAAAATAATTTAACTCAACTCCTGCCGATCCTGCAGATCCTTCTCCTCCTGCGCTGAACTGTCTTCACCACTCCCAGTCTCTGTCTCTCCCACTCTCTTCACCACCCCTTTACGCCTCCAGCATGACCTTGTGCACTGTGGTGGTCAGTCCCGGATTGGGGGAACCCACGCTCGCCGGCGGACTGCTGCTCGGAGCAGGACTCGCCGCCGCCGATGGAGGACCTCCATTGGAGGCCGTCACTGTCACATCGGCGGAGAGTGTGGGATAACGCTGAACGGCATTGGCGGCGGCCACCAGAGCGTGCAGCTTGCTGGGCGGCGGCGTTGGCGATTTCTTGGACAGATTCAGCGGCTGCGCCGAGTCGGCAATGTCCACTTGGAGCTCCAAAAGGGGTGTGGGATTCGAGCCCGAGCTGGAACTCGCCGGGGCACTGGAGCCATTGCTGGTGGAGTGCGGCGACTGGAAATACTGACAGCTGCCGGCGGAGCTTGAGCTGCAGTTGGAGGATGTGGAGGAGGAGGACGAACTGGAGCTGGAGCTAGAGCTTGAGCTGGAGCTGGAGCCGTTGCTGTGCGGTGACACGGACTGCTGGCGCTGCTGGCAGGTGGTGGTAATCACCGAGCTGCTGCCCCACCGCTGCTGCTGTTGCTGTGGCGCCGGTGGCGGCGTGGAGCTGCTGCTGGGACTGCGATTACCCACACCATTGGTGGTGCTGCTGGCCGCCGTGCTGTTCTCGCGCTTCAAATAATTCTGGATAATGTCGCTGCGCTTCATCTGCTCGGGCGTCATCCGAGGCTCGGCCATCAGAGACTTGGCCAAGACCGAGTGCGAGCTGGCCATCGAGGCCTTCGGGCTGCTGCGGGTCAGGTGCATGTGCAGCTGGCTCTGGGCGGGATTCCCCAGGGTAGCCGGAGTCACCGAGGGTGGAGGCGTGGCCACACTATTCGGCACCGGACTCTGGCGGGGACTCACAGCACTCAGGCTGTTTGAACCGGAAGTGGAGCTGCTGGCATCGGCCTCGGCGGTCTCGAACTCGCGATGCCTCAGTGCACGGAACTTCTTGTGCGGCTTGTAGGCTTCGTCCATCAGCGAGTTGGTGTCATACAGCGGCGGAGCCTGCAGCACGCGCTTCAGCACTGGCATATCCTCCACGATCTGTCGCTTGAGATGGCCACTGCTCGAGGGCTGGGGCGAACGAACCGGCGACACGGTTACCACACTCAGCTGCGGATGCTGCACCACCTGGGCCTGAGCCTGGGCGGCGGCATCACTGCAGTCCAAGGCATCATCCACACTGGACCGGGGGCTTGAGCAGGAGGAGCTGCCGCCGGAACTGACGGCCTTGCATTCGTTCTTCTCGTTGCCCGACTCAATGCCCGAATCTGTGGGCGAGTCCAGCTTCCGGTAACGAGCGGCTCCGGCGGTCAAGTGATGGTGGAGCTGTGGGTGTTGCTGGTGGTGCATCTGCTGCTGCTGCTGCGGGTGGAGTTGCTGCTGCTGCTGCTGGAGTTGCTGGTGCGACTGTTGCTGCTGCTGCTGCTGTTGGTGGTGTCGCACAATCGGCGTGATTGTCAGCCCATTCTGGGTGAGATGTGCATGCGAGCCAACAATATCCATGTCAGCTGCCCCGGAATCACCACTCGATCCGGAGTTGGCTCTATTCCTAAGCGGACATCCGCCGGAAAGGGTGGCCGCCAGCAGGGGAGCCGAGCTGGCCAAAGCCGAGGGCTGTTGCTGCTGCTGTTGCTGGGGTGGCGACGGCAGGGCCACGCCCACGCTCTGTGGCTGCGAGCTGCTCGGACTGCCATAATCCAAATCCGCTGATTCACTACTAGAAACCGAACCCAGCGGACTCTTGGCTGCCTCCACATCCATGGCATCGGCCCAGCTGCCGGTGGGCGACTTATTCTGCTGGCCATCGCTGTTATTGCCATCCTCCATGGACCACATCTGCTGGCGAAGGAGCTCCTTGTGCTCGGTGCGGAACACAACCAGTTTCTCGGTGTGCAGGGTGCTCAGAGTGCGCAGATCGGGCATGGTTTCCAGCAGCTTGGCCAAGAACTCGGGCTGATCGGGCCTATTCTGGGCCACAATATACTGCAGGCAGCCCTTGAGCCGCGAGTACATCTTCTCGATGAGCTCCAGGTTGCGCAGACCAGGACGATCTGGTGTGATCAGCACAATGGCGCAGAAGAGACCAATCTCCGCATCCGTCAGGTTCATCGAGTTCATGCGCTCGGCAAAGTTGAAGGTGGAATCCACCAGGAAACGGGCATTGGCTCCATTCTGGATGGCATCGCGCCGCATTACCTGGCCATTGAGGCATATGATCGAGTTGATTGACGAGTCAAACATGCAAATCAAACGCACGAACAAAGCATCAAAGAGACCCGCCTTCAGGAGCGTGAACTTATCGTCCTGGGTGAGCAGCTGGAAGCCGGGTATCATGCCAGCAAAGTCAATAACGCCGCGGATCACATGGGCGAATCTCTGCGAGAACTCCTGCTCCGATTGCAGTTCAGGGGCGGGGTTCAGGGGGCAGGCCTGGAAGAAAGCAAGAAAAATAAAGAAAAAGGGTTAAAGAGGTGTTTGTCTAGGAGGATTATTAGTTTTTTGTAGCTCAATCTAAGTGTTGTTGATGCTTAGTTCCCCTTGGCCTGTCACTCTGAATGTTAAACTTTTCCTCGTAACTGTTGCTTGGCTTGTTTTTCTTTCCTTCCCCCCCTGTAATCCCCTCTATTATCACGTCATCGCTCTTTTCACACGCGAAGGTCAGCGAACCTCCCCCCAGCTCGCTTTGCTCACCTCGCCCCCAGGCACACACACTCATTTAAATCAATAATAATAACTATTTGTACTTCCGCACCGCCCACCACTCTGCCTGCCTCCCCCTTTTCCTGCTCTCTTGTCCCCCTTTTCCCCCTACAAATGTCGCATTTCCTTAAACACCGCTGGAAGCTTTTTTCCACAATGTGTGGAGAGACAAGAATCGTTGGGGGGAGGAGAGCTTTGCCTACGTCAGCTATTAGTTTTCCTGGTAGTTTCTAGGGGCTGTTCTCGCTCTCTTTCTCTCGCTCTACCTTTCTCTCTTTATCGCCTCCCCCTTTGTAGTTTGTGTTGAGCTTTTTTGCCGCCTGACATTACCAGCCAAGGTCGACGAACCAGAGTTCAAGGCTTTTGCCTTTGTGTTTGTGTTGTTTTTGTTTTGTCCCGGCGCGTGTTTTTTTTTTACTAGAGGGTTGGAAAAAAATATAAATAGGGAGGAAATACCAAAAGGGGGTGGGCGATAGAGGTGCCTAAGCCATGCGAATGTTCATGCTATTTCACCATTTGGCTTTCCGGGTTTTGAGTTACATGAACATGCGCCAAGTGGCGCAGACAGCAGCGAACGTGCCGCCTCCCCAACCCCTTGAATTTGTATTTCTATAAAATACTTTTTTGTATTCATGTTTTGATTTTGATTTTATTTTCTTTATAATTTCCCATCTTTTTGTTCTGTTTCAATAAGCACACGTTGTGCTGTCTGGCGCCCCCGTTTCCCGTTTTCATGTATTTCGTTTTTTTTTCGCACCCCAAAATCTGCTTTGATTTTCGTCTGATTAACCTTGAAAAATGCTCTTTTCTTTCTGTGGCCTTCGACAAGTGCAAAAAGCACAAGCACAAGTAGCCGGCAACCGGCCGGGGTTTTTTTTTTTTCAAATATTTCTCTCAATTTCTTTTCTTTGCCGGCGCTTTGACGTCGTCGTGTATCATTTCTCTGTGATTTGCGCAAAAGCGGAAATAGTTGGCGAAAATACTAATGAGCGAGAGAGTGTGTTGTGCGGGGGCTATTTATGAACCCTCCTGAATTTCCCGCCATATCACAAGATATAAATCCGAGCGACCTTCAAAGCGAGAGTCTGTTGTTGGTATTTGCCAAAAATAATTCATTCCCAGAATTCTTTCTTGTACCGACTGATATGGGTTGCCTAGAGATTGGGATTGAATAATAATTGTTGGCTAGAACCAAAGGAATTTCTATATATATTTGACGTTTTTCTCATAACAAGATCACTGCGATTCTAACCTCACCTTGCACCTTGCCCCATCGTCTTCCGTCTTCCGTCATAAACTAAATTGCTTTTTGTGTGTGGCGATGATATTACGACGCTTCCTAAATGAACCACCTGACAATTTTACAGATTTTGCTCTCAACCCCCATCTAGCTATCTCTTTCGCTAGTGCTGTCTCTAGTCTCTCTTTCTATTGCTAGTGCATTTTTGTGACGCCGCTTGTCTGGCATTTGCTTCCTCATACTCATGACATTTTATGCATATTTTTTTTAGTGTTATTATTGTTTACTCATATATACGAGTCCGAGTGGAAATATCAACTGCTAACGGCTATGGGGCGTGGAAAAGAGAGGCAAACAGTGTATTATTCCAAGGTTAAAAAATAACTTGCCCCAAGGTCGTTGGTCGCTAAGGTTCTCTACTTGTTTTTGTGTTTTTTATGGGCACTTCTTAAACTGTCGATCCAATCGATCGCCTTTCATTGTGTGTTCTCTTTTTTTTTTTGTTTACTGGAATCAACAAATCAAATTTCAACTTTTTTAGCCTTGCACTTGACTCTGACTGAATTTTTATTTGCTTTCTCTGGCTTTACTTTTTTTTCCTTTTGTATTTTTGCTCGACTGGCTTTTAAATATTTTAATAATAATTTATTTAAATGGGCAACGCATGTGTGTCTGGCTCTAGCTCTATCTCTCTCTCTCTCTCTAATCCTGCTGTCACCATCTCTTTCGCACCTGCGATAGCTTGCTTTGTGTGTGTGTGCTTTCATTAATAATGACGCTACGCTTGACCTTGAGCTTTAGAACTTTATTTGTATTGTATATTTGTTGTTGCCGTGCCGGGACACGTTTTTCGCTGAATTTTATTATTTGATTTTTTTCTTTTTTTTTTTCGTGTGTGCTCTTTCTTTATCGCTTTTTGGGTCTGGGTCCCGTCCTATCCATTAACTTCCTGCTATTATTTGATTTTCCTCCATGACGTCGCTTTGTAAAATAAATCCAAAAGCATTTATCACTCACTCAGTCATAAATTTGACATTGACAGCTCTGTGAGCTTTTCGTCAAGAACTTGACCCCAAACTTGCCACCGAGGCCCCGCAAGAATCCGTAACCAAAAGAGTCGTCGTCGCTTGTAGACGCGTCTACGTGCGGCCAGCGATTTCCTGGTTTAGAATCGTGCAAACAGGTTCACCTTGGCGCATGACTAACGCCGCCAGTAAGGTAGTTACCAGTGAGCAGACAGACAGCTGGCAGCAGTAACTAGTGGCTATAAAGCATGCTTTTTGCTGTTGTTGTTGTTGTTACCTAGAGCTGATCTATGCATGTCAACAGAAGTTGGCCCGGAAATGTGACTTCGCCTACGCGGTAACCTTTGCCGGAATAAACTACTTCGTTCTATTATTTTCATAATTTTATGGTCAATGGTTATTTATGATCCACAATGAGCTAACTGATTTTGATTTATATATTTTTAGTTTAGTTAAAGTTGTAAAAAAAAACTTACCAGCAATGTGGGCATCGAGTAGGAGGGGCAATCGCGCGCCCTTTGCCGCATCGCCGAGACCTTCTCCTTGGTAAACTCGCAGGTCTCGAGGTGGGCGCGCAGCACGGCAGCGAGTAGGCGTGGCTGGTCATCCAGCTCGGTGGCTAATGCACGCTGCTGGCCGCGATTCTGGGTGCTCTGCTGCATGGCGGCCAAAATGCGCGCCTTCTCGCGCTTCGGCACGCGTCCAAAACGCACAGCTGCAATGAAGGGAACGAAAAAAAAAGGAAGCCAAGTTAGTAACCTTGCAAGTCATATTACATATATATTTAGGCATAAAAATTAAGGCCCATCAATTACACACTTGAGTGCATACAGCAGGTGCAAGAGGACAGCTGTTGTTTCGGTTGTCCTGTTGTCACGCAGGAAGTTCCCCCTTTACCCAGAGTGCCCTTCAAAGTGGGTCATTGCCTCTCAGCTACCTCAGCTTCGGCTTCGGCTTCTGTCTGGTCTGTCTTCTCTTCGATCTACGCTCTCCTCTTCTCTGTTACACTTTCTCTTTTTTTTAGATTTTTAATTTCTGCCTCTGGCCGCAACCGAAAAATTTGTATGTGGGTGAACTTTCACATTTCACCAATAAGCAGAGAGAGATAAAGAGAGAAAAAACAAATCAGGCACGTTTGCGGTCACGTTTTTCGCACTTGAGAAGAGTATGAAAAGTGGAACTAAAGGAGGGACAATAAGTAAAAAGGTTTAAGGGAGGAGAGAGAGGAGATCAAGTTGAGTTTATGTTGGGTTTAAAAAAGGTTTATCAATCCAATTTTGAATATTTAAAGCTGGTAAATATTTTTTAAAATATTTAAAAGATTTATGGAAGGTAATTTAACTAATTTAATACTATAAAAAATACGTTAAAGATATTTAGATCCTTAAGATACTTTACAATACAATTTTTCAAAAGGTTTTTCTTACTACTTCAAGGCGTTTCCCTAAATTTCCCTCTGTCTCAAGCTCCTTTTCATCTTCCGCCCTTTTTTTTTGTGAAACTTTTCCCCGACTTCAAACAAACAAACAAAAAATGTATCTAACAAATGTTTGGCCAACTTTTCAATGTCAAAAGAAATCTGCGCTTGTACAAAAAAAATTTCACTCTGGCACAGAAAAGTGAAACAGCGTTTTCCATGCGTTTCCAACATTTCCACAGCTAACTGAGAGAGATAGAAAGAGCCGGCAAGAGAGTGTGACCCAGATGGCGGGCAGCGAAATCCAGGTCAAACGAAATGGAAAATGAAGCGTCTGCGCAGGCGCAGCAGCAGCAGCAGCTGGCGCTGCGCGTAGAAATTAGAGCGTTCCAACTTTCCAACGCGCCGACGCGACGGGAGATGATATCGCCGCTGAAGCCGCCGCCGCCGCTCTCTCGCGGTTTCGCTCTTCTTGTAGAAAATAGCAACGCAACGCAAAGCCAAGTTGCCTTCGCTGGAGTTTCGATTCAAGTTTAAAGCTCTTCCGCGGCAAAGAAAAAAAAAAAATATTGTATGTTTATAAACGAGGTCAACACTTCAATGGCGCTCGCTTTTTTTTCGTGTTGATAGTTGCGGCCACAGTGAGGGCTCTGGCAATGTGAACATGAAATTAAATTATTTTAAGATAATAAGAATTTCTTAGAAGCAAGAAAATTATCATTCTAGATAAATTAAAATTTAAGAATTCTTTAATATTAAAAAAATCTAAGGGTAGCTTCTCTGAAAAGAGTCTTTACTGTATTTGTTTGAAGCCATCGATGGTTAAAGATAAAAAAAAAAGTAAACAAAATGAGTGGAGAAAGAAAAAAAGTGAATCAAAGTAGAGAATCTCAGAATGCTTGCATTTCTCTGGTAGGTTTGGAAACCGAAAGCTGGGTGTTATTTTAATTTTAACTCTTTTTTTTCGCTTTTGGCCAAATCTGTGTCAGTCGGGCTTAGGGAAATTGGCTTCAGCTCAGCTCTTTCACTTTCTAACTTTCGTATTGCATTGTCTTAGATGATGGAAATTGTATGTTAAGTCCATGGATTCTGGTAGAAACTTACGGGCATTGTGATAGTTGACATTGCCTTTGAGTATGCCCTTCAATATTGGCAATTCTTCGCCCATTTTTTTATGTTTTTTGTTTGCTTTTTGGGTTTATTTTGACAATTTTAGGGGGTCTTGACTTGGTCACTTTTCCCTTGGAGGGCACATAAACCACTCAGTTCAACGCGGTCATTAAGTATTTTGTTTTTTTACGGATAATTCTTTGCAATATTTTCTTAATTTTTCTTGGTTTTCTTTTTCTTGATATTTGGCACACACACAGCTTTGGTTGGAACTCTCAGGTACAATATAAATATTTGGATTTGTTATCTTATTTGCACTAAAAACTCGGTTAAATATTTTAATTAACAGCTGTTTTCGTTTTGCGAGAGAGGAACTTTCTTTGCTTCTGGTTTTTCACTTGGATTTTCTTTAATATTTAGCAAATAAATTAGTAAATTATTTTATATTTTATTTTTAGCGCGTAATCCAGACAGACGAGTGGTGTGTGTGTGTTTGTTTTAATTTTTTTGGGGGGAGACTCGGTCGACTTTTCTTCACATTAACTGGCTTTGGACACTTGGACAACTCTTGTTTTGGTTGCTTGCAATTAATTTATTAATTATTATTTGTTGTGTGTTATTTGTTGTTAAAAACTGTTCGCACTCGCGCGCTGCTTGCTCTCGGCTTACTTCGGATCCCGCGGATCGCTGCTGGCTAACATGACAAAACTCGACAAGGTCTCGAACGCGACTAACTGTAAAAGCCAAAGCGCGTTACGAATATACCCCAGAGGTATCGGACATCGACATCGGCATCGGTATCGGTATATCGGTGTCGGAGAGCGAACCTCAGTGACGGCAACTGCGACGGCGACTGAGCTTCAGCCGCTAAAAGCGAAGCACAAAACAGACGGAAAACTCGAACAAAACACACAGAGAGCCAAAAGCCGCTAAAGTCGCCTAGCGAGAGAGGAAAGCAGTGAATGAGCTGGCCAAAGAGAGCGAGGGCAAAGCTCTTTTCAGATGATTAACAAGGCAAAAGATTGAAGAGAGTCCCCCAGTGATAAGGCTGTGAAATATGCTCCAACAATTTATGGTTTTTCGGGGAATTCTTTAAAGAATGAAACTTTAAATGGAAATATATATATTTTTAAAATATTTTTTTTTAGCTCTTATATTTTAAATATTTTAATTACGTTTTCCCAATTTTCATAAACTTTTTAAGCCAACCACAAAACAAAATAAACCTTTTAATTAATATTTATGCTTATTTAAATATTATTTTACTGATTTTAATTTTTGTTTTAATATCTTAAAACAATGACCCTTTTGCAAAAACAAAGCAAGTTCAAGCACTGATAAGCTTTTCCTGATAAGCTTGTCAAGGCTCTCTTTTGTATTTCATATTTTTAAGGGCGCTAGCAAGTCTCTCTCTTTACCACAAACAAGTTCAACAAACTCAAAGAGACTCGAGTAGACTCCAAGAGCTGTCACTCTTAACAACCACTGAGCTTTTCACCACTTAAGAGCGCATCATGTTGAATTCCCCAAAGCTTTTCTCGAGCTTTCGCCGTACTTGTAGTTATTTTTGAATATTTTTTGCATTTTGGCGACATTCCACAGTGCGTATGAGTGATGTGCGAAAAGCAAACATCACCCATCCGCCATGTTGGCAAGGGTGGCAAACATCAACAGGTGACCCCAACGCCTGCATTTACATGCAGATTTACGTTAATTATTATTTTTTTGCCTTTATGACTCACAACCGCTCTAGATTTTGTTTGTTTATCCATGGAAACCTCCGGGTGGGTCTTTGTCATCGCCGAAACGTTTCTGGTTGCTTCGGTTTCGGTTTCGGCTGGTCAATGAACTTAGCCGCTCGAATGAGGCCACAGAAACGTAACGAAGCAACATTTAATAATCATTCCGCGACGCGAGGAAAGTAAAAGTGAAAGTTGTTTGGCTCAATTTTTTTTTTTTTTGGAGAGAGGGGGGAGCAAGCAAGAAATTTTCGTGCGTGCCGTGAAAATGCAAGCAACTCACTCGATTGGTCAACATTGGTAGTCGCTGTTTGGGCCTACAAAAAAAAGGTTGCATAACACAAGCAACAAAGATTGGGGCGGCAGACGAACTGGAAGCAACTCGAAGGGGGGACGACGAAGGTGGCCCCAAAAATGAACGGGTTTTCGGAGGGTTTAAAATATTTCCTGTAATGCGTTTGACCTCTTTTTGAACTGAATTGTTGTGTAAAATTAATGTTTTAGGTAAAATATTTAATAAAAGTTTAAGATTTTAATATAATTTTAATATTTACTATATTTCTACTATATTTATTTACTATGTATTTTCTTTAGTTTCCTTGTATTTTCCTGTCAACAATTTATATAAGCTCCTCCTTTTCTTCAATGCAAACCAGATCAATAGCATCGCTTTTGGCCATAATTGACATTCACAATAATGCTGGCAATTAAAAGCCAATTAACAAGTTTCACTTTCACTGCGTCGCGTCCTCATTTTACATGTGTGTAAAGCCTTGTGTCAAGTTGCTTTCTAAACCTAAAATAACGTTTATGATCTCTTGTTATTGTTTGTGCGACGGCTGACTTCCTGAATTACGGGGAAATAATAAACGAGAAAATCAAACTTGTTGTTTACCATAAGATTTTTGTTGAGTTCATTAAACTTTGCCAGCGAAAGAGTCGGAGAAAGATAGAGAGAGATGGGCCTACTTTCGGTTTTGGTGATTCACAAAAAAACACCTCTGGACGGAGTGGTTTTACGTAAAGTCACATAAGCGACACAATTGCTGTTGCTTTGGTTTTTCGGTCTGCTTGCGTAAGTTGTTTACAACGCGATCGAAGAGTGTGTGGAAAGAGTCAAGAGAAATGACACCAAAGAAAGGGGCCGAATAATAACAATAATAATAATAATAATAAAGTCGTCTCGAGTTTTTTGTTTTTTTTGTTGAAGTTTTCTTGAAATTTCTACGAAAGACAAAGGAAAGCGCAGACACAGCCCCCTCAGCGCTCGAGTAATTTTATTTTCGATTTGGAGCCTTCGTTGTCGTTCGGTTTTTGTGGGTCATGAAAAAATGTTTTCAATGAAACAAACGTCGGGGAGGTCGCCTTGCCGCACATGACATCGCTCGGATCGTTCAGGGTAGAGACTATAGACCCTGTGCCATATTATGTTATTAATTTTACACGAAA